GACGCTTTGTTTATGGCCAGAAAGGCACTGGCGAGGGAATTTAAAGTGTCAGAGATATGCGAGCGTAATCTTGGGCTATTTGCCTCCCTCATGCTTCCGTCAAATGCTTGTCCACAGCGACTAAGAAATGGGCGTAAATGTTGGGTTTACTGTGTAGATGCACACGCCCACAGCGTGGTCACAGGCATCGTATATGCATTATCCAATTTGAATGATTCTAGTGCTGTGGGATTATTAATTGCTCTAATTCCCTTTTTTTAATATTTAGTCGGGAGTTTGTCCCTAATTTCTGCTATTAAGTTGTCATTTGTATTAGTCGTATGAATCTAAGAATTTCATGGTTGAGTTCCTCACGCTCTTAAAGCTGTATTTGGGAATAGTTGTAATACATTAGTTTAGATGTTTGATGGCGGTCACTACAGCAGCGACGATGATGACGATGAAGATAATGAGTTCCATGTTGACGGAAATCCCGATGTTTCAGTGCAAGATATTGCGGTCGAAAATGTGATTGACGAAGATTCTCCAGATGAATTGGCTGCTTTAGATGTTGCTGTCAATGTGAGACTTAATTTTGATTTCATGTCCTAGTTTTCGAGGTCCGGTAAACGGCGCTCCAGCCAACGGCCGGATCGCAATATAACGCCGGGTGGGGCAACTAGGGCAACTTATTTACAGGTGCATCGATCTCTTTTTTTGTATAAAACAGGAATCTCACTTGTATTCACAAAAGAATGCAAGAAACTAATATTTATTAACGAGTCATTTAGGAAATTAAAGTAGAAATTGCAGAAAATGAGTAACAAAAAGAGGTTTCCTCAGTCCATCTGGAGTGAAGTAGGTATTCCAGCACACACTTCAGTTCTTCTTTTCCATGATTTTTTGCTCTCTTCGCTGCATTTTTCACATCTGCGATCACTCTTTCAGAGCAAACATGTACCTCACGTAAGTGAGCATACAAGTGCTTGCGAAGGTAGGGACCTTTTTTTTTTGCAAATGACAATCCGCCTTTGTGATCATCTTATCAGAAACCAAACTACAGTAATATCGCATTTGTAATAACAAGAACGTGAATAGATTTTGCAGTCAAGCAACGGAAGGCTTAGGATAGATGAAATCACAGTCTAAAATATACTTCACTCGAGATGGTCTGAGGAAACATCTTTTGTTACTCATTTTCTGCAATTTCTACTTTAATTTCCTAAATGACTCGTTAATAAATGCTAGTTTCTTGCATTCTTTGGTTTTATACAAAAAGAGATCGATGCAGCTGTAAATAAGTTGCCCTGGTTGCCCCACACGGCGCTATATTGCAATCCGACCGTTGGCTGGGGTGCCGTTTACCGGACCTCCTAGTTTTCATCAAAGCTCTCATAATTTGTCGAATACAGTTTAATTATAGCATGGCATTCGCAATGGGGTCAGACAATTTCTTCGAATTCTTAGCAGGCGAGTCAGTGCCGGT